TGTCAGCAACTAANAATCCAGCTGGACTGAGCTACGACAATGCTGAGGAGACAGACGAGAGGAATGTGAGTGAGTAAAGACCAGCTCGAGTCTGGCTTGTTATTGAGCAGTGTGAGCTCCTTATATACATGTCAGACTCAATACCTAGAATATCTTACGAATATACGGAGGTGTATAGAAAGTAAAAGAATGCTATGGAATCCGGGAGAACCATCCGGAATGCGTAATATTCATGACATTACCCCCCCGTCTAGAATCGTGTCCTCACGATTATTTACCAGTGGATCCAAAACCTCCCGTTCCTCGCTGCATTTTCGTCAAACTTGTCACCTCCTCGATATCGCATGACGCAATGCGTTCCAAAACTACTTGAGCAATCCGATCACCAGCGTGTACTTGGAAAGTTTGATCGGTGGAGTTGATCATCAATACGCGTACTTCTCCGGTATAGTCACGATCGACTACTCCTGCGCCAATGTCGATCCCTTTGACCGCTAACCCGCTTCGTGGTGCAATTCGCGCATAAGTCCCGTGAGGGGCACGCATCGCAACACCGGTGCCGACTATCTTCCGACTCCGTGCCGCTATCTTAACATTCTCGGCTGAATAGAGGTCGAGTCCTGCAGCTTCGTTAGACCCTTGTTTCGGAAGAATTCCTCCCATTCGTTGGACCAAGAGAGTGGTATCGCGTGTGAGTATATGAACAGGTCGCGTCAATAGCGGGGGAATTCTTATTGTCATAGGCGCGGGCTTGTCGGGACGTCATGCATGGAATTCCTGGAGGAGTTCTTGACAATTAGTCAAGTTAGCTCGTGATTCCCAGGAACGGCGATCGCCGTGAGGGCTGTTCTTCCAAAGGACCTGGTATTCGAGATTTCCATTTCGATCTCGACGGGAGTCAAGGATTTCTTCGACTTCCCATTCTTCCTCGCCATTTACGAGGTCAGGGACTACGGGAACATGTCGTTGTGATGGATATGCAGGTTCTTTGAAAGAACTTAATAGGCTTTCGTTGAAAACAGGGTGTTGTTTCCATTGGCGGGGGAGTTCTAGTTCGTAGGCGGAAGCGCCGACTTTACGTTTGACTTTGAAGGGTCCGTAACGTTTGTCGTCAAGCTTCTTCATCGGTCTATCGGTTCGAATATTAACCCCTTCTAGCCAAACTTTATCCCCTGCTTTGTACTCTAGCCCGGTCTTCCTTTTCCTATCGTAGAACCGTTTCATAGATTCCTGCGCTAGTCCAATAGCTGCGCTGGTATCTTCGCGTATTCGATTCATTCGATCAACGAATTGTTGGACACTTTCGCTTAGTCCTTCTCGTACTGGTTGAGTTTCTTCGCGAGGATGATATCCTTTATTAACGAAGAAGGGAGTATATCCAGTGGAGGAATGGACTTTGTTGTTGTACGAAAATGCTGCAAGCGGCAGCCATTCGGCCCAATCTGATTGTCGGTAGTTGATGAACAATCGAAGATATTGTTCTATTTCGCGATTGACACGTTCCGTTTGTCCATCCGTCTGAGGGTGATAGGCGGTGGAAGGATTCGCTTCGATTCCAAGTGATCGGTATAGCTCGGAAATGAACTTGTTCTGGAATTCGGCGCCCCTGTCGCTGATGATCTTTCGGGGTAGTCCATGATGAGCGACTACATGATCGCGAAGTGCTTTTCCCCATCCTTCTGCATTAAGCTCGATACTACTGGGTATCGCGATTATCTGTTTCGAATACATACAGACAACTACGAGGATGGCATTATGCCCAAAGGATTCTGGTAGTACGCCTATCTTGTCTACGGAGATCACCTCCCAGGGTCGTGTGGGAATTTCGTTGGGAAATAGAAGTCCCGTGGGTCGCGTGGTGTGAACCTTGCTCTTTTGACACTTCTCGCATCCGGCTACGTATTTCCGGATGTCTTCTCGAATTCTAGGCCACCAGTAGTTGCGTGTGACCATTTCGTGCGTTTTGTATTGACCAGGGTGTCCAGCCAATGGGGTATCATGGTGGTGAGCGATGATCTGCTCACGGAGTTTTTTGTTTATCGGTACGTAGATACGATTCTTCCAAGTCACGAGTCCGGTGCTATCCTCATTCCAGTCCTTGTCCTTGTTCTGTAAAGCTACGGTAACTAACGAATCTTGATTCTTTTTGTATTTTTTAATTTCAGTGACCCAGTCCTGGTCGATTCCTTCTAAACTAAATACTGTACTACGAATCAGGGCGCGGAAATGTTCGGGTTTCAGTAATACGATATCAGAATTGTCCTCTTTCCCTGCATTGTGTCTCTTTTGGCGAGACAGCCCATCGGCTTTGCCATTGGACTTCCCGGGCTTGTGATGTAGCGAATAGTGATACTCCGCTAATTCAGTTACCCATCGGGCTTGTCGTCGATTAAGCTTCTGTGGCTTCCGGAAGTATTCTAGATTCTTGTGATCTGTCCATATTTCGAACGGATGTATGGCGCCCATGAGGTACTGGCGCCATTCTTCAAGACTAGTCATTATCGCGAGAAGTTCCTTATCGTAAATCTCGTAATTCCTTTCGGCAGCTGTCATAGCTTTGGATAGGTATGCGACGGGCTTCCATTTGCCGTCTTGTTTCTGGGCTAGTTTGGCTCCTACGGCAAAGTCCGAGGCGTCACACTCCACTCGATAAAGATCATCGTCGTTGGGTATAGCTAGTACGGGCGCTGAACAGAGTGCGTCTTTTAGGTTTGTAAATGCTAATTCTTGTTCGATGGTCCATTCGAAGGGAGTGTTGCCTGTTAGTGAACTAAGCGGTTTTGCTATTTTGCCGTAGTCTCGGATAAACCTTCGGTAGAAGTTGGTAAAGCCGAGGAACGCCTGTATGTCTCGTTTGCATTCGGGTCTTGGCCAATTGACTACTCCTTCTATCTTTACTGGGTCCATACAGACAACGCCTTTTCCTACTATCATTCCAAAGTATTCGACTTCTGTCTTCTCGAACTCGCATTTCTCCGGTTTCAGATAAAGCTTGTGTTCTCTCAGGATCTGTAGAACTTGCCGCATGATCCGTCGGTGTTCTTTTAGATCTTGAGTGAAGATCATAATGTCGTCTAGGTAAACTACTACGTGTCCTTGACTAATGAGATCTCGGAATATGTCGTTCATCATTGTTTGGAATGTGGCTGGGGAGTTCGTGAGACCGAAGAACATGACTAATGGTTCGAACAGTCCTCGATTGGTAAGAAAGGCGGCTTTTTCTTCATCGCCTTCTTTGATGCGGATGTTATTATACCCCCATCGGACGTCTAACTTTGTGAAGTATTGTGCCTGCTTCAATTTGTCGACTAGTTCCTGTATCAGGGGTAACGGGTATCGATTCTTGATCGTTAGCTCATTCAGCTTCCGATAATCTTGCACTGGTCGGAGACGTCCGTCCTTCTTTTTGATGAAGAAGAAAGGTGAGGCCCAGGGTGACTTTGATGGTCGGATTCTCCCGGTTCTTAGGTTCTCTTCTATAAATTCGTCGAGTTCTTTCTGTTCATTGACCGATATCGGATAGACTTTACAACTGATTGGTTGTGATCCTTGTGTTAATTCAATTGCATGGTCCCACGGTCATCTTTGTGGTAAGGAATCGAAATCTTCCTTGCTAAACACGTCCGAGTAGTCGTGATAATGACTCGGAACTGTATTCTCGAAGGTTTTGGTTTCATGCTTCAAACTTTCTTTTATTGCTAGGTCTGTAGCAGTAGTGCGAATACGTGCTGCTCCTGTAGCGAAATAAGTTTCGTAGTCTAAAGCGAAGATTCTATCCCCTTCTTCTAGGCGAGCCTCCGGATCGCTGGGTTCTTCGTGATCCGCTTCAATATCAATTAATCTGGCAGCGTATTTGCACGTGATTGGACAACGATCAAATTGAATGATCTGTTCCTGCCAGTCGATTGATGGGTTGTGGATCTGAAGCCATTCGTAACCCAGGAAAATGGGTGTCTTTCCTAAATTGGTAACTGCAAAGGGGAGTCTTTCCACATGATCATGGATCTCGACCCTTAATTCAACGAAGTCTGTGATTGCTCCTCCGCTGTTATGCGTACCGTTGGCGTTATAGACGGGGATTGGAGATGGCAGTTTTTTGGTAGCGATACTGTTGTCGCGTACAAACTGTGCATCGATCGATGATCCTGTACATCCCGTGTCTAACAGCGCTTTGACTGACAAGCGTTGTTGTGTGTCCAGGGTAGTGATGATCATGGGGACATCCATCTGAGTCCCTTTTCTTCCTCGAACGAAACGAGGCTGTTTCCGTAACTCATTTAGGAAATCGATTGCTTCCTCTTCTTCCATCTGTCTGATTTGACTCATACAAGCTTCGGAGGCGTCAACACTATTCTTGGAGTGTACCCATTCTGTCAACAATCTAAGCGCTGCAGCTTCTTTACTGATTATCCATTGGCGGATCCATGCCGCTGTCCAGGGTGTGTGGTGCTGCCACTGCGTAGATTCAGTCTGATGTTCTGGTGTAGGCGATGATTTTTTATTCGGGGGAATTAAGCAAGAGGGTTGAGCCTCTCCGCGCCGCTCTGCGGACGCCCCTTTTTCTGGTATATACATTGCTACTCCAAACCAAGAACACAGATAGTTCGTGAAATTTCGTTCGGTCAACTTGGCTACGCGCCTGGCTGACCACTTCCAAAACCCTTCATTACTGCACGAATCTCTTCTCGAATCGCCGTCTTCCAGTCGAATGGTTCTGCCGTCGCGGCAGGTGCTTCGTTGAGTGAAGCGAGTGGGGTAAAGGTGTTGACAGTGGGAACGGCCGGGGTATCTGCGGCCCTTACTTGTTGGGCTTGTTGCCTGTTAGGGCAATTCCGTGATATGTGACCCTGTTGGCCACAACGGAAGCAGAGACCTTGGCGTCGTGCTTGATCTAGCTCCATCGGTTGTCCCCTGCCGCCGAACGTGACGCCTGTCCCATCGCGGCGTGTCTGAACCGGGGCGTTAGTGGTTGGCGCTGCCGGACTAGCTTGTGTTCGTGGTGCGCCTTGCGTCTGCTGTTGTCGCGGCTGGAATTGTCCCTGTCGCTGAGACTGTGGGTTTCGTCGTCGGTATTGCTGTTGGTTCAGGTCAATACGAGCGACCCGTTGCTTGTACAGCGCGTACGTTGTCGGGATTTCTTCCGACGAATTGTAAAGAAGCCGAATGATATCGGCCCGGAGTGCTTTTTCCAGAAGTCACTTGAGTTCTTGGAAGTGGCTTTCGAAGTCGTGAATGTTTGCCTGGAAGGCACACAACTTGAATTTCGAAAAGAATTCTTGCGCTGACATTGCGCCCATCTGCATTGCGTGCAGCCTATCGTAGGCTTCTGACGCCTCATCGATTAGGAAGTGCCTGTCTAGGTCTTCCCATAGGTCTTTTGTAGTCGTGATCACCGTGTCTTCATCGGTGTCGTATTTCTTCATGTACGTGGCTACGTATTCGCCAGCGTGTCCTCCTTTCATGTAGGACAGGATCATAAGAACCCTGTCAAATTGTTCTGGTAGACGCTTCCTTTGCGTGACTACGTAAAGCTTCATTTGCGTTTTCCAAGCAAGATACTTGGATTTCGTGCCGTCAAAGGCATCAGGCTTCATCGCGCTCCCGTTGATGAGCGCGGCGTTATCTACGTTCTTGGCCATTGCGCCGGGATCGGATGGAGAAGATGGTGGAGTGGGGGAACGTCTGGGGTTCGGGCTTGGCGGCTCGGAATCTTCCAAAGCTTCTTCCACGGGGTTAGGTGGACCTTCTGGTGGTACTTCGGATTCTCCGAGTGCAATTGAGCGGAGATGGTCAGTGACCGATTCGAGAGTGTCTCGTCTAGTTCTGGGTTCTGAACTAGATGCTACGGGCTGCGGGTCTGCGAGAGATTCTGAAGGTTCTCCGGTAGTAACTCTCTGAACAAGTTCTCCGCGTAATCCTTCTCTGCACCTCGGACAGCGATTTCTAACGTCTGGGAAATGTGGGCACGGTTGTTGCGCACAATATCGTATGTAATTGCCGTTTATGTAGATAGATCTCTCCTCTAAAACCCGATGTGTGTGTCCCCGACAATCACAAGAGAGTGTGGTCATAGGCTACTGGGACCGTGAAGCTGATTGCAGCAAACCCTGGGACTAATCGTGTTGTAACGACCAGATCAGGGGTAGAGTTCGCCAAAGATGGGAATTTCCGAAAAGGAACCGAAACGCTATCTTAATACAGATTTAGGAATATTGTAACAGCCCAAAGAGCACTTGTGTCTCTTCGGTCCGACGCCCGGAAAGGGATCGTCGATCTAACTGTCACCGCTTTTCCGACGCCTGGTCGCAACCAGTTGCCACGTCGTACTCAGGAATATCCGCTTGCCTGCTGCAAAGCGTGTAACGCCGCCTATGGTAGGGCAGGGTACGATTCTAATTGGACGGTGCTCTGTCCAGCCGCCTAAGGGCTGGTGATTACAGAGGTGGCTTCAGAGGTATGATGTGGTAAAAACGCGCAAATGCACGGAGAAGGGTTCCAGGGGTCCGGGTCTTGATGCGGTAGAATTCGATAGGGTTAGGATTGGGGATAGAGTTCGAACGGACGGGTATGGGGGATCGTCGTGTGGAGATGGGTGATGGTTGGTGTGAGAGTGACGAGGATCGTCGTAGGGCAGTTGGTGGAGACTCGAGCTAATGTCAGCAACTAACAATCCAGCTGGACTGAGCTACGACAATGCTGAGGAGACAGACGAGAGGAATGTGAGTGAGTAAAGACCAGCTCGAGTCTGGCTTGTTATTGAGCAGTGTGAGCTCCTTATATACATGTCAGACTCAATACCTAGAATATCTTACGAATATACGGAGGTGTATAGAAAGTAAAAGAATGCTATGGAATCCGGGAGAACCATCCGGAATGCGTAATATTCATGACATT